TCTGGTCCAGACGATCTGGGTTCATCTAAATTTGTTAGCTCGAGTAGTGTTTTGTTTAACTTTATTGAGGCAGAGGATTGTGTTTTCCTGGTCTCAATGTTTCATCGGCTTTTAGATGACCTGAGTTATGGCCACTGTATGTTTTATGTTTTTTTTTAAGCTTTTGCCAACTTTATCTTTTCTTTTGGGTTATGGCTTATAGCACAGGACAAGATTTCTGATTTCGAGATGAAGCTGATGGACATTGACAGTGAACACCTTGGAATTCCTGAGGCAGAATATCATGCCATTGTTAGGATGCCTTCAGCTGAGTTTGCTAGGATTTGCAAAGATCTAAGCAGTATTGGTGATACTGGTAACTTGTTTATTGGATTTCTAACAATTAACATGTTGGTTTTAAACTTTGGCCAATACATGATACCATCTTGTGGTATATGTTGTAGTGGTAATTTCGGTCACTAAGGAAGGTGTAAAGTTTTCCACCAGGGGAGATATTGGAACTGCAAATATAGTATGTAGGCAGAATACTACTGTGGACAAGGTAAGATGGCGTCACAAATTATTCCCTTACAAATTGTAATTTGTAATTATATCTGTGTATGTATTGTTTCTAGTGGTTTCCATTGTATAACTTAAATGGTTTAATGATAACATTTTTGCACGCCTGTTTCTGTGGTTTGATGTTACAGCCTGAAGAAGCGACTGTAATAGAGATGAATGAGCCCGTGTCCTTGACATTTGCTCTAAGGTATATGAACTCCTTTACAAAGGCAACACCGTTGTCTAACACAGTGACCATCAGCCTGTCAAACGATCTGCCAGTTGTGGTCGAGTACAAGATTGCTGAGATGGGTTATGTCCGTTTCTATTTGGCCCCTAAGATAGAAGAGGACGAAGAAGAGACCAAGCCTGAAGCTTAGATTTTGATTTGGTTTGGAATCTTTAATTATTGTAGGAATCTCTGTATTGTACACTTATGGGCTTGGAAGTTAGTTACAAATTTTACATACGGAGTTTTCTTCCTTTTTTAACTCCGTCTCTTTGAATCAGACCAATTAAACGGGGGATCTGTATTCTCATACCTAAAGTCAAAGTGGCTCCTGTTTATGAATTCACACGGTTTTGTTGCAAGTTAACTGTTTAGTGTGGCAATTCAAAGTATTAAATAGCTCCCAATTCTGAGAATGCTCATTAGCTCATGTAAATATGCATAAAGAGCATATTTACAGCTCAGCTCGCATGATTCTTGGAGGTCTACTTGCAAATATGAAATATCTAATTCAAGGAATGTTTTGGTATTCAATATTTTCAGTTATTCGTTTGTCATGTGACTTCTAAACATGAAAAAAAAAAAAAGCCCGAAGGGGTAGGAATGTGATGATTTTACTGATCGAATTTTAATTTTAGCACGAACGTCCATATAAGAGTAGGATGATTATTTTCTAAGAGAGGGACGTGCTATACCAATCGTCCGTGGCAAAGCCAAAAGGTCACAATCGTCTAAGCAAGGTCCCCAAAAAAAAAAAAAACGTCCTTTCTTGATTTCTTGAAAGAAAAGATATAGGGAGAAGCCAACTTTGCACGGGAAGAAAAAATTTGAGTAATGGAAAGAGAGTCCAGAGAGGGCGCGGAAGTGACACAATTTTACCTTGATACCAACACATCAGTGAGGTTTCTTAGGAATGCTTCTTTCCATTATTTTGATGTTTTGACTTGAGATTTAAGTCAACTAATATGTTCTTTTAAATTCAATACTTTGTGATTTTCTAATAGGACTCTTGAAAGAAGAATATGTTCTTTTCCCACTATCTTGGCTTGGTTGTGTTCTTGACTTTACATCATAACTGCTGAAAATGGCCTTCATTAGTAAAATAAACAGAAAACAAAAGACGAACAAGGAAACATGGACCACGCCTTGATATGCTTGCGTGCTTTCATTTTATTTTGATCACGTACACCTTCCTATTTATTTGCAAACTATTTCTAAATATGCATCAGCGTCTGGAGAAACTTACAGTTACAGTTAATCAAAACAATAATTTCTATGCGTTTGTCTTGATGCTTTAACTGCATTTTCAGAATCCATCCGTATGCCTTGGAACCACATGACATATTGCATTAGATGTATAAATATCCTGAACATATCATGAATGGCTGAGACTAAGTTCCTTCTTTCTGCGTGGTGATGGCTCAGCTGGCAGGTTCAGATGAGATAGAGTCTCTGAGAATTGAGCTAGTGGAGACTGGAAGGAATATAAGGCCCTCGTTTGGCAGTCATTATTCCAGTTCGCGGAGCATTTCAAACATTAATCTCGTACAAGATGGTGATGAGGCAGATTTGCTGCAATGGGCTGCAATACAAAGGTTGCCCACTTTTGAGAGGATTACTTCGGCTTTGTTCGATGTTTATGACGGTTTTGACAAAGATGGAGAAGTTGAAAGGAAACAGGTGATTAATGTCAGCAAGCTTGGAGCTCATGAACGGCATAAGTTTATAGAGGCTTATCAAGCACAATGAAATGACAATCTTCCATTGTTGCAGAAACTGAGGAAAAGAATTGACAAGTAATAACTTCACTCTTTGGATAGTCCATGCATTTAGCTTCAAGGGAATGTTCCACACTTCACATGCAAGCTACACAGATATCAATTACATGTGTGAATATTCTAAGCATGTCTGTGCCTGGAAGGCGATACTTAATACCCAAAAAAAAAAAAAACCATGATTTTTTCTCACTTAACCTTAGACAAATGGGCTACGGGCCAGTTCACCAGATAAAATGGGTTGAAAAACTCAATCCAACTCATTTTCTGACAGATTGACTAACCTAAGGGCTGGTCCACAAAAATTCACCAAGATTTTTTCTTTGACAATTTAAAATTTATATAATATAAATATATACATTTAGTCCACATTTTAAGGAAAATTAGCAATTGAAGACCTTGTAAATAAATAAAATAAATATAAAATTTATTAAGCAAATTTTAGTTCACAATCCATGATAAAGTAACAATTAACAAGCATCCAAATACAGCCATTACAATTTAAATTGTTTAATAGCACACTACTTGAGTTCAAAACCCACTCAAATTTAAAATTAACAACAGTTCAGCTTTTAAGTGGACACAATGCTCAAAATATTGTTATTAAATCCTTGCCTTTCTTTTATTCAACACATAAGAGATAAAAGCTTGTACATACAAATGCATCTTCACCTTCCCTTTATTAACCTCATATTTACAATTTAACTAATCTTATTAGCTGTCAAATTCAAGACCATAAATCACACACAAACATATTAACAATTTATTTATTTTTCAGTAAAGAACATATTAACAATTTACCTAATACTATCCACTGTCAAACTCAACCATAAACCATATACAAAAAGATTAAGCAACAATGAAGCTAACAAAAACTTCATAATACATTTGTATAGAAAGCTAAAAAGTTCATCATCTCCCCCCCACTACAATACAAACCTTTATATATGCGCGCGCGCTCGCTTAAAAAAAGATGAATTCCACCACTCACTACTCCAAATTTTAAAAAAATAAAAAAGACAAAATAGATTGGCAGGCTAGCCCGTGAGTTAGGTTTAGATAGGTGTTGGAAAAATTAAATTTTTAAATTGAATATAGAAAAAAAGTTGGCTCATTTTGCTAGATTTTTACTTTTAATTATTTCCTCGCCTAAATGTGTTATATTTCTCATTGAGAAAGAAAACTTGAATATAAAATTATCATTTTTTTCAGTGAATTCACATTTGTAATTTCAATTAATAGATCTTATGAGATTAACAAATAATATATATTCAAAATATTTCTATAAAATTAATAAATCATCGATTTACAAATTATAACAAAAATTTTGTTTGCAAATCGTAAGAAAAATTTACATTTTTTTTCAAATGTAAAGAACATATTTAAAAATTATAAATTATAAATTTAAAAAATATTGTTATTATTGTAGATTTATAAAAAAATATATTATGATTAAAAAATTTAAAAAATTATTTTTTAAAAAAAAACATGCTAGCCCGTGGGCCAATCCATTTTAGTCTATTAATTTTGGGGTTGAGTTAGCCCAGCCTATTTTAAAAAATGGGCCATTTTTTTGGTAGGTTAACTCTCGGGCTTCAACTCATTTTTCTGACTCTCAGATTTGATAAGTTAAACAGGTTAGCCCACAAATTCAACCTATTTTTTTGACTCCACCTACAAAACACATTCTTAGCCTAAAAATTGCCTTTCTATAGAGGTCTCTTTCCCTCCCTCTCCATTTTCCTAAAAAGTGGCCCTGTCCTACCAAACGTCACTTAAGAGCAACTTCATATAATTGTTATTTAAGACTGTTTCATATAAGATCACATGCAATAACTGCTTGTTTACAAGTTCAAAACCCTAGATTTTGACATTACTACAATACTACTTTCTAAGGTTCCAAACACACACTGTGTAACAAATTAGAGCTAATTTATCTCCATGGTTTCAATGTTTACATGCAAATTGAATTGTCATGTCATGCGCCTAAAATCAAGGGAGACTTATGATGAAATCCATTGGCTTAAGTTCATTTGTTACTGGACCTTATAGTAATTAATTGTCTTGTATGAAACTTGTATGTAATTTTTAATTTGATACATAGAATGGAAAAGAATAGAAGATAAAATAGAATGAAAAATGATATTTTGGTACTTTAAGAAAGGAATAAAGAGAGACATACTATAATAGACGTTGTAAAAGAGATTGCCTGCACATCCATGATCCACTTTTCTTTAGACATTCCAAAACTTTAGTTCCAAAGCAATTTCTGGTTCCGTCAAAAATGTGAGATTAAGGTTGTGATTTGGTCAAGCTCGTCGTTAGCTTTCCTGTCCAACACATTCATATTAGAGTAATATTTTTCACAGTAAGGGCAGTTTTACGCTTTGTCAGGGGGATGAGTGGTTGGCTAAAATGTGGAATTGATTCAGCCGGTGCCTGAGAAATGGGTGCAATTGAGATAAGTGCTCTTAAACTTTATTACATTTGTATTTTCTTCATCAATCAATGACATATAGATAGTGCGTTCATAAGATAAATGGATTTTTACATTTAAGCTATAAACAATTACAGAAGATAAAAAAAAAACTCAAACAAGGAACAATGCTCATTGATGTAGCCATGCATTTCCATTTCTATACATCAAAATTGCAGCGAACAACTGCTGAAGGAACATTCAATATCTCTTGGCTACCTTCTCTGGAAATTTAATTTCCCTATGCAATAGGCAAACAGAGATGCATAAACAATTGGGAAAGCGATAAGAACCACAGCCACAATGTTCAACCGATCATGATGGAACCCATAATAGTCTCTCAGAAAGGCCCCAACTGGTTTTGGCTTCCCAAATATGAGTATCGTCTTGTCTATGTCCCCATATTGTGAAGTCAGGAGGCCATTTAGAGACCAAGATGTGGGGCAAAGCCAATAACACCAAACCCACCATTTAGGAATTTGCTGCACACAAAAACAAAGCCACAATAAGGCTAATTCATGTAACAGTCAGGCATCATCAAATACATTTCTAGTTACTAGTAACTAGGTTCTGGACATTTGAAAGATTTTGAAGAACTTTCCAGATTCTTGAGGATATATGAAATGCATATGAAAGTTGTTTGATTTCAAACTTTTTATGTTGAAACATATGGTCCTTCAAATGGAATGGAATCTAGAAATTCTTCATCAAATGTTAGTCAGTAATTTGGTGGGTGTAGAAATTTCTTTTTGGGAGAAATCAGAAAAAAGTTGACAAAAAACTGCTAACCCAAAGGCTTTTTGTTGAGTTTCAGGTCAATTTTCGCATGAGCAAAATTCATGAAATTCCTTCAGTTTAGATGCATTCATTGGTCCACAAAGATAAATCTTACTGGATTTGCATGAAATCACTTCAGAAGTATGTATATGCTCAGGAATCATGCGAGTGTGTGCTCTCATTTGCCACATCTCAATACACATACCGCAGTATGATACTTAAGAAACAGGTTCTAATTCTTGTTGTATAGGAGACTAATAATTAGAAGAACTATGTTTTTTCAGAGATCTGGGTGGCATTACCGGTCCTGGCATGAGGAATCCAGAGAAAAGATTGAATATGGTGTAGACTGCAGCTGCTAGTATGGAAGCTAAATCGAGATTCAAGCTCAACGAAACTATCAACATTCCAAGATATACGAAGTACAAAAATGTACAGAATGTGGTGTAGAAGTACCAAAAGACCTTCTCAACCGACCAATAGTAACCTATCATTGGATACGTGATAGCCACATACACAATAGCTTGCGCTAAGATATATGGTATCTCAATGGTCACCTGCAACAACAGGCAATTTTCATGCACTGGATTTTTTAATCCAATAATTATCAATTGAACTTATTGAACTAATTCCAAACCTGTGCAAATGAGTAGGCCATGGAAGAATACATTCCAGCAAATTTTTCACGGTACAAGACAGTGCGCTCAGTTACCACATATGGTAAAATGGATGCACAATTATTTATGCCCAAGAATATGACAGCAATATACATTGATCCCAGTACGTTGAACAAATCCTGCTCATTGTTTCTTTAAACAGAAAAAATACGTGTCAACAATTATGCCATTACAACTTGGAACCTATACTAATAGTTTGAACCCAAAACTAAGAAATGCTGTCTCCAACATACAAAACAAGAGTTCATGGAAGTTATAAAAGTGATAGTAAGGCATAGCATTCATTGAACACATTGAAGTTTTTAATTGTTTCAGTACTGATTATACTGGGACAGATCTTTTTTTGTTTCAAGAACTTATTGAAGAAATTAGCCAGGGGAACTTTTGATTAAATGCTGCTATACAATCTGGAGTTTGAGATTGGATTGGAATACTGCCAAGACAAGTGAAGGATGATTTTGAGATGTCACATGCGAAAAAAATTATATAGCCAAATGTATGAAAGAAGACTTACATTTCCTTCCCTTTCTGCCAAAATACTGCCCCAAATATTACTGCTGCTACAACCATGAACATAAAACGTGTCAAGTTGTATTCAGGACTTCTCCAATAGGACAAGTGTTGCTTCCATAGACATGCTGTAAACTGCCCCAGGTTGTTTTGTGGAAAACGAGTCGAGAATTGCAAGTCCTTTGAACCCGGGGATGGTTCACTTAACTCTTGTACCAATTCAAGGGTGTTCCTATACATATAAACATAAATGTCAGGCCATGTTCTTTCACTCGTTAACTTGAACCAATATCGACAAAACCATTAAAATAAAATTATTTGATGACTTTAGTTTTCGGCCAATCACGCTCACCAGTAAAGAGGTGACTCCTTATAGACTTTTGCAAAGTCTACTTTAAGTTCTGCTTCTACAGATGCAGAGGTAGCTTCTAGCATCCAGGTTGCAGGATTATAATTGTCTTTGATCTTTGGCACTCCTGGTATAGCCTGATGGAATAAAGTTATTCAAGAGAAAATTTAATAGCTTAATTGAAAGGATGAAAGACAAAGGTTCTAAATAATAATTCATTATTTTTTCTTCATTAAGTTTTCATGTTGACGCTTTATCAACATCACTATTCTTCTGTATATTGCATGGACCGTTGATTTTAACTTGCACAAGAATATGAAATCACTCGATCCATAACCTCTGACTCATTTTTTTAATTTTTCCTTTCTACACCACTACTTTAATTTTGGTGAAAATTGAACTTAATTGCAATCCACTATCATTGTGGGAATCAATCAGTCATTCACATCTCTAACTTATACCAGAAAGAGAAATTAGAAAAGCAGGATGATTAATGAACCGTTTAGAAGCATGATTGGTGCTTGGAGCATACCTGAAAGTATTCAATCAGTCTGCTTGACTGGTGACCAAGTTTTCCACTATAGATAATCTGTCCTCCTGATTTCATTAGAATCAACTGCCACAAAAAAATAACTAACTCAGTTGCTGAACTTCACTTTACCATTGACCTGGCTTGATAGATAATAGCATCTATTTGAAACTAGTGAAGCCATGAAAAAGTAAAATTTTGCTTCCTTCTGCTTCCTGTGGTTGTGGATCAGGATTCTTTTGCCTACCTCATCAAAAGTCTCAAATATGTCAATGCTTGGTTGGTGTATGGTGCAAACTGTGGTCCTGCCTGTGGCAACCACATTCTTCACTGCACGCATAACTATGGCAGCTGCTCGGGCATCCAAACCTGATGTTGGTTCATCCATAAAGATTATTGATGGATTGGAAACAAGCTCCACTGCAATGGTAAGTCTTTTACGCTGTTCAGTTGATAAGCCACTTTGGCCAGCTATGCCAACTAAACAATCCTTTATATCATCCAGTTCAATTGTTTCAATGACTTCTCCTACAAATTTCTGCTCAGAGGATATTCAGATAAACAAAGTGCATCAGCTATCTAAGTCAGACAAGTTATGGTGACTATGACAGCAGTTTCTTACCCCTTTTGTGACTGAATCAATCTCCATTGGTAATCGCAACCATGCTGAGTATTTCACAGATTCTTCAACTGTTATGTAAGGGGAGTGTACGTCAATCTGCTCACAGTAACCTGAAACTCTTGCAAACGTCTTCTGCACTTTGGGGTATCCTCCAATTCTTATATCTCCTTCAATGATACCTCCAGTTTTTCTCCCTGAAAGGACATCCATAAGAGTCGTTTTCCCTGCTCCACTAACTCCCATAAGTGCTGTGAGAACTCCTGGCCTAAATGCTCCAGTGATATCACGGAGTAACTGAAGTTTTTTCTCATTGGACCCATGCCTTTTCATTTCCTGCTTAGAAGTACAAAGAAATTTTTTCATTGAAGAGACTGTCAAGAATATATTAAATCATGAAAACAATTACATTAGAAAACTTATTAACTGGAGGGGTGTCGACAAAATACTGGACATCCTTGAATACTATTGTCAGCGGCTGAAATGGCAGGACCATTTTTCCTATTTGACCAATCATGCACAAAAAAAAAAAAAAAAATCAATAATAACTTCAATGTGAAAGCCAATCCTTGATATAATTTATCATGTAATAGCTGTGTCACCTGTGTTTTGTGTTTCCTTTGAGGTCTTGCTGATGTCCACTGTAACTGATCTATTTTCTAGTTCCATGCTCTTGCCATCTTCTCCTCCTAGCAGTTGAGAGGCCTTTGCTTTGGAAACAAGAGCTCGAGACATCCTTGGAGCTGTATATGATTTCCATCAAGTAGGCACATTGTGAAACAAACACACACACATATGTACATATACATTGGCTTGTTATTTTAAATGAATTAGATTGGACTTACATTTTAAGTAACTTAATGCTAAGATAAATCCAAAATCAAAAAGTACTGTGAAACCGAGCAATGCCCCAATTGATAGCCAGTAGAAGTTTGCATTGAAGTCTAAACCATGACTAGTTAAAACCTTCTCCCCTATGGGGACGCCTCCCTCTTTAATCTGCAAATGATAAATAAACTAAATGACTACGATATGACTTAATATCAAGCCACAAAAATTATCTTGCAGTTGCAGATACCTTCTGCCAGCGGGGAGCGAGAAATTCATTTATTGTTAATCCAATTTCTCCATATGTCATGGGAGAGAGCCAAAAACCCCACCTCAACCACGATGGTAATGAAGCTGAAATGAATAAACTCCATTGTTAGGATTTTCTGTTGTTGTTGTTGTTGTTGTTGTTGGATAAAGGCTTGTTGTTGTTGTTGTTAGCATTTTCTGCAACTTTATTGGAAAAGAAATTACAAGTGAACTTACGTCTGGGAAGAATGAAGCCTCCAAACAAAAACATCAGTACTAGGAACAAGGAACCGACTGTTGTAGCTGCAACATCAGTTTGGAAAACTGAGGCAAGGAAACGGCATAAGGATGTTGATGATAAATGCAGAGTGAAAAGCAGAAGAAACTGGCGGAAGAACCTGAATGCAAAAGTTAGAAAAGATTCAGAAAAGCTTATAAAATTTTGGAAACAAATGTGTAATTTGTACATAGGATTAGACAAATTCATTGCCTTTCTACTTCAGGGCTGTAGCCTATAACATAATAAGTTACTGAAGTCCAGACAATTGAATCAATAACTGAAAATGGAATCTTTAGAATCGAAGCTGGAAGACAGTAAGCCCATGCTGGATATAGATAGAATTCCTTCTGCTTGTAAACAACAGGAAGTCTAGTAATAGTCAAGATCAGCTCAGCAACTCCATTAGTCATGAGGCGGACAAGTGTATAGTACAACGAGCCCAGTAAAAAGTTTGCACTCTTTATATCTACATTCAACTGAGTGCGTATAAACACTGTCATCGTTATGATTGCTGTGATTGTGAGCTGGAAAAAAAGAAAAAGGAAACAAGTAAGATTGTAGTGTTTGATGATTAAAGCATTTCAAGTCCTTTTTGAGTTAGAAGCAGATGTTAACCTGTGCAGTCTTGAATACATAGATAAAAGAGTTTCGTTTCATGAGAAGTATCTCCCTCCTCATACAAGCTTGGAACAATTCCCATTTGCCCAAGGAGTACTTGCTAAATGATAAAGCATTTTTATGGGATTGAGATTTATCATATGGCTTTGAGAGCTCATCATTCAAACTTTGTCCCCAATAACTTGCTTTGAAAATTTGAGAGAATTGACCTACTGAAACATAGTTGTAAGGAGTGTCTGTACGATACCAGTATTGCCCTTGATCCTTCTTAGAGGTTACCTGTACATAATTGAAAATTTTGATTAGTGAGGCTATGTGGCTGAATTAAATAACAAGGAAATTCAATTTTCTTTTTCAGTCCTACTTCCTGGAGAAAGTCCGCTACTCCTTTCCTTTCAGGACACTTGAAACCACATTCCTCAAAAAATTGGAGCGCTTGACTGCATGGACCATGATATACAATCTTCCCCTCAGCTATCAGTATAAGATCATCAAATAATTCAAAGGTTTCAGGAGCTGGCTGAAGAAGTGAAACCACTGCAGTTCCATCTGTGATGTGCACCAACTGCTGGAGACAGGTAATTATTTGAAAAGTTGTGGAGCTGTCCAAGCCAGTTGATATTTCATCCATAAACAGAGTTTTTATGGGACCAACAATCATCTCTCCTGCAATATTATATGGAAAAATTACTTTCAAACTCAATAAACAAAAAAAATTATCTGTATGATGAACATGTTTATTTCAGCCTGGGCAAAAGGTCTCAGTAGCTCTTCATTTTTCAATGTCTAGTAAAGAGGAGGCACTTCTATTATATTTTTCAGTTATGACTGAAACTTATTGATTGAATAAACGTTAATATCTGAATCTTGAATTTTTTGAATTGAAGCAGAAGCACACAACAAAGTTTATTTGTGAATTTCTACATACCTGTTGTAAGCCTTTTCTTCTGTCCACCTGAAATGCCCCTATCTAATGCATCACCAACTGTTGTGTCTGCGCAGATATCAAGACCAAGAATCTACAAGGTCAAAATAATAGGAAGATCTTAATTGAGACACTTAATGATTTCGTTCTGCAATTTTTCTGTGCTTGGAAGAGGATGTACCTTCAAAACATAATCAGTTTGTAGATTTTCTTTTTGTCCTTCAACTGATATTGCCTGCACACGTTTCATTGATTTCTTTGTCAACTTTCTTTTGCATTATAACGTGTTTGTTTACCTTATTAATAGTACCTTCATATAGGCATCAATATCTGGGTCAGGGATGATTCCTGCATCTTTCTCTTTTGTTGTCACTTCAGCCACTATATCTGCATGACAAATTATATATGTAAAGATCAGCTGATACTTTACTATCTAACAAATTATTTGACATAGGCCTGAATATTAACAAATAAGAAACCATACCAGCTCTGTCGCCAACCCCCTGGCATTGGGCTGAAAAGTCAATTGTTTCCCTCACTGTCATCTCAGGGATGTGCAGGTCATACTGGCTTATATATGATGATGTTTTTTGAGGAACAAATTCATCTAGCATGTGACCATTGTAAGATATTTCTCCAGTCACCTGAAGAGAAGCAAAAGCTGAAAAATGTCAGAGGGATTACAGGACGTGTAAATGCAAGAAAAAATTATGCTTTACACAAGTCTTTGAAAGACTCGTAAATTTCCACTCATGGATGAAGAAGCATCAAAAGCGGCGCTAGTCAGATCATCCTCTATTGGTTTAAGCTATGCTTAAACATATTGACTTCGAAATTTAGTGATTCTGAACATAAGTGACTTGAACTGTTAGATAGTCCAGAATTTAACTCCGTTAAAGTCATTTTTTGTTTAAGATACAAACCTTGAGAGATTGCTCAAGTTTTCCAGCCAGTGCCAATAGCAAGGTCGTTTTCCCGCTGCCTGGTGGGCCAAGGAGAAGGGTAAGCCTGCACTCAGAACCATCTTTGATCAGTTGGTGATCCAGTCACTCGTGTTGAAGTTTACTCTTCTAATTGATTCTTCAATGTTTTCCTTCATAGCATATGGGATGAAACCAGCTTACACACAAGCATTATCGTCTTTCCTATTGACTTAAACCTAGTACCTCATCCAAATGGAAAGCCATCGTAACAAAAGTTTTCCTAAACATTTTAAGCGTCTAGATATGAAAGTGCACTGCAACATATCCATGCGATTGAGGAAAGATTCAATAATATAAGCATAATCATCATCATATCAATTCTAATAATTAAAAGAACCATATTGCCATAAACAAAAGTCATATTCAGTTATTAACTAACCTTGATGGCTTTATGATGCCACTTACATCCTTAAGAATGCTTATGTTGGTTCCTTGAGAAGTACAAGGTACTGCCTTCCTAAAACCCTGTTCATGTGATAAACTTAGTTGATTTTTGCACGTAGAAAAACAATTTTTTTTTGTAAAGTTATCTTCGTTGAAAAATACATGTAGTTTAATCTTACCCGTTTTTGCATGATAATGGCCTGCTTATTTCAATTAATAAGTTGTTCAAGGAGAAAGCATACTTACTGAAAAGAAGCTAACAATAGTGTTCCACAGTGTAGGGAGTGGCTTCCCCTTTACAACCTCACATTCTGCTTCTACATGAAGGTTCTTATACCTGACCTCCACAGTAGGAATCTTCACATTCACTCTAGAAACAAAACTTACTTGTCAATTCCTTTTCTTTCAGGGAAAAAACGCAGATCTTAATAAAAGGGAACTCGCAGATAAATGAAATGGGATAAAAAGGAAAGAAGGAAAGATTTTAGACTCCATAATAGAATAGTAGAAAGAGTGACTATTGTCAGAACTAGAAAAACCAAGGCTTTATCAATCAACATGAAAACATGTCAAGAGCTATTTCAACACAGAATTAGCTTAAATATGAAGAGTTTTGAATCGTATGCTCAATCAAAAAGTAACTCTACTCTATTTTCAGCATAGTAAGAACAACAGTAGGCACCTCTCTATCCTTTCCCTTAGTTTCTGCAGCAACTGGAGATTATCATTCTCAATGTGCTTTATGAGTTTGTCAATCAACAAACGCCTATCAAGTGCTCCAAGTTTAGTAACATCAACGACCCTTTTACTATCTGACCTCAATTGTCTTCTACTCTCCGATTTTAAATTGATGTTGCTGCTGCTGCTGCTTTGACCATCATCATCTTCAATCACATCAATAAACGAAGTTCTAATCCTTTTGAAAGTGGGAAGCTTTTCTATGGCAGCCCACTTCGACAGAATCTCCCTATCTTGCTCCAAAACAGAGTCTGCATCTCTGTCAAAGCTCAAAGTCAAAGGAGAGTGCTGGGTTCTTCCTCTTGGAGTTAACTCCATCAGAATTTATCAACCAGGTCTTTCTTCAAACACCTAGCCGACACTCTTGAAACGCCCAAGTCTGAAGCTATTCACACACACGATTCCGAGCAGAGATTTTCTGGAACTTGATTCTCTTATAGATCACGAAGCGGAGTGCGAATAGAAAGAACCTGCAAGCTCCACCTCTATCATTGAGAGAACTCCCTGAGTTTCTCCCTGTGTGAGTGTGAAGTGGCACAATGGGTTTTGCTTTTTAATGGGGAAGGAAACTTGAAAGAATCAAATAATATTGTGTTGACTGTCAAATGTTCATTTAGTTGCCATGATAAGAACTGTTTTTGTTGCTTTGTACAAAAGGGTAGTTGGAATGGAGCTACGTTTAATTTATTGTTGCTACCAACTTTTGCATTAAAAAGAATCATATGGCTTCTTTATTTGTTTTCTTGATATAATGTACTCATAATGATATAACTTCTTTATTGGTTGATCCGGCTCAAAGTCTCTGTGATTATTTTATTCCCTAAATCAAGTGCTTTTCTTCATACCGTCATGCTTGAGATCCGGATCGGTTTGGACTTTGAACAACCTTAATCAATCACCCAAAAATTCAGAGGTCGCCTCAAAATGTAATTTTCATGCATTTTTATATTTGAAAAGAAAATAACAATAATAAATTACTTATGGTTACCTCGATATCTTCTAAACTTCAATTTGAATGCAAGTTTTAAGAGAAAGAAATCACATTAGGCTACTCAAAAGAATATAATTGTAATTTGAATTGCTCAAATAGCCAGTAATGATCCGATTCAAGATTGTAATAAATAAATTTAAGCCCGTAACGGTTTACATAATATATAATCAGAAATTTTGAGTGGTAGCTAAACCAATCAATTGCTTTCGGTTTCGTTATCCTTGACGTAGCTGGAAATGTCGCCGCCGCCAAGGGTTGAGAAAAATGATAAAAATGTAAAATACATGTTCAAACAAAAATGAGTGGATTGTTAATTATTATGTCTTTGAGTGATAATCAGTTATATGCAAGCACGTTTAATTAAAAAAATAATTATATAATTTTAAATTATAAAAAATTTCAAGTATCATGCTTGTATAAAAAAATCCCTTTCCTTTTTAAAAGTACGTAGACGAGAGGTATTCAGTATTTTTTTTTTGCCACTTTTTTTTTAATCATATGTCATATATATTACTTTTTTTTTCTATATTGTCTTTATTCAATGTTATTAGCATACGTTTTTTAAGTTTGACTTTTCAATTTTTTTTGAAATGATAAAGTTAAAAATAGACCATGTATTCTAAAAGGGAGAATATCAATTGAGGACGGCATAAACTATTTAATATCATATAAGAATTTGGACAGATTAAATATTTGTTAAAATTTAATTAATATTTACTTATTAAAAATCCTTGTCTTACGCCAAATTATTTTTCAGGTCCTTCGCGATATTCCCCCATACTAAAACTCGTACGGAGATCTTTGCTTTTAATGGCAAGGCACCAAAAGATACGATCGAAAGTCTCTCGGCTCTGATAGTCTGATTTGGATGTTCAGTGCATTGGGAGGAAAGTAAAATATGAACATTTTTCAATTGTATTTTAAATTTAACATGGGTTTTAATTTTTTTTTCCCCCACTTCTAATGTGTTTCTCTTCGAGGAATCTGAAATAGATATAATTTTCAACTATCATTTCTTTCCCCCAAAAAAAAAATAATGATTATAGTTAAAAATAAATAACAAAATTTAAATTAAAGCAAAGCAAGGTAAAAATTTGATACATAGTATGTCTCCATCGAGAATGCAGAGAAACTGTACTCTCTTGGCTCTCTAAGTTAGACTATGCAATAAAAAAACAAAATTAAATTGAATAACGGCAGACATTTGCGACTAAGGAAGAGCCTTTTTTACATTACTTATCTTTTTATTTATTTATTTTTCTCACGTTGCTAACTGCAATTGGAATCCACACAGCTTTAGCCGCAGCAGTAGCTATAATAATTAAGCTGAATTTTTTAATCTAATCACATTTCATGATATGTGATTTTACTTTTTGATTTTGATTAATTTAAGCATTTTAGCCTTTGGGAAAAAAGGAATGCTTCGCTTTCAACCAAAAAAAAAAAAAAACTAATTGTTAGGAAGAAAAGTTCATTTGATATTATATTATTTGTAGGGCCCAATAATTATTCATCAGCCATGGGGACATTCAAGGTCCACCCGGTGGCTGGCTGAGTGGGGATAATAAATATATAGTATTAAAATAAAAAAATAAAAAAAAAACACGTGTTCCTTTCGTCCAAAGTTATGATTCATCATACACATGAAGTTGAGCCTTGAGGATTTTGCTGTGTGTTTGTACTATAAAAAAAAAAAAGATGAATAGAGCATATTTTCTTATCTTATCCTGTCTAAAAAATTGATATATTTAGTGTTAATTAGATTTTGGGGATTTAGTTAAATTCCCTGTGATATCTCTTCCATTTTAAGAATTTCAAACTTGATCCTTTTTTTTATTTTTCATATCAATAAAAATTAACATGAACTGTGTTAGTAAAAATAAAATTATCATTTCAAGTTGTTTGAAAAATTAAGAGAGAGGTTGCTTTGAATTTTAATTCAGTTTTAATCCAGAGATTAGATTAATTGCTACAAGAATTTTTTCATTTATGTAATTACTTGCTATGATTTTTTAATTGTGAATATTTTGACACTGGAAAGAAATTATGAAGAGTTTTATCATTCAAGAGATTAAACCTTTTATCATCAAATGTACTTTTATTTTTTTAATTTAATTATATCTATATTCAACCCATAAAATTTTATAATTATTTTTAATCGTAAACGAGGTTGACTTGTTTAAAAAAACTGACGTAAAACATAAACAAAGTTGAATGCACAACATTTTTTTTTTTGGGTCGAACAACAACATTTCAAACCATAGCATTGAAAATTTTTCTGTTTTACTAATTTGTGGAGAGAAAAACCAGTAAAATACCAATTTTCATTTTCAAAGTGGACAAAAATGGGAAAAGATCTTTAAATTGACTGAATCAATTTTTTGTTTTTTGTTTTTATGCATTTGAATCTGATTAATCTCACTTTCAAAGTTTTCGTATCATATTTTCCTTCAGAGCTTTTCCGGGTCATAAAGCAGAGTCAATGGGGTACACAAGTCCATAACTAAATTCCCAATTTTCTAATGCTTTATTCTGAATGAGTGCTTTCGTTGAAGATTCTTTTTTTTTTAATCCCCTCTCTCTGTTTTGTTTTTACATTATTTTTCCTGTGGCTTTGTTCACTGTTCATAATCAACTTTATCACCTAACTTTCCATTAATACTGGCCCCAACTCTGCCACAGAATACAAGTTAGCGAGAAAAATTAATCAGATAGATGACACGTCAGCAGATCTTATGAAAATCTAAATCAACTTTCATAAAAGAAACATGTGATGTGAGATTTTATTAAAGAGAAAGAGATAAACTTTCACCTTAACAACCTCATTTTTTTTCCTTATCATGTTGGTCTGCCATTAAGAGACCATCAGAATTTATCCTAATTACATATCTGTGGAATTCGTGGATTACAGGAAGATGAATTGAAGACATGAGCTGATGGGCTATTTTGTTTTAAGTTCAACCTTTAAAAAAGGTCGAAATTAATGTATGTTCATTATCAATGTCTTTAGGATGATCCCGTTCATACTTGTGAGTGTAGATGAATTAATTTTTTCACGAATAAGCAGTATTTAACCGATCTACTCCCTCATATCCTTATCATATCATAAATCTTTTCCCAATATTATCTCTTCTTAATTACACGAAATTGTATTTCCTAGTTAAATTTTATTGTAGTCATAACTTTTCTTTAAGAGACGTGAAATTAATTAATTTTACTAATGCTAGGACCAGAAGAAATACAGAGTATATAGGAGGAAGGCAATTATTTTTAGTAAGAATTTCCCAATCAATGACAAAGGCAAAACAATGTAAATTAATATAAATGAATTTTTGTGGATTAAAAAGCAAGGACTTGTTTTCCAATTTTTGTTAGAAGAGACATATGGTTTGAAAATTATTACTTCCTGCGAGCAATTTTTTTTTTTTTTCAAAAAAAAACCTTGAACAGATATCCAGTTTCCTTAATTCTCATGTTCCCTTGGCAATTTGATTCAGCAAACCGGTCTGCATCATGAGTGGCCAGTACATTCCAGTCCGCATCCCAGTTAAGGCACAGTATGACCAGCTTTCAGAATCATGGGCTTATTTATTTATATTTTTGGTCATTCAGAATCATGGTCTTAGAAATTCATAGTTTCTCACCCAAACACGTGGACGATAATCTCTATTCAACCAACCAAGTTCAAATAGAACAGACAGTGATATGAAAACTTTGCCTCATCACACAAATACGAGAGCACTTCTTCCAAATATTACATGTTAGAGTCCAAATGTTTAGAACATGTTGTAATTGTGCTGTGCAGCATGTATGCACCCAGAAGAAATTCAGACTGTGATTGAACTCTTGAGCTATTACTGCATGCAATTCATTTAGATTTTATCTCTATGAGGGTAACCAATGGAATGGACTATAAGAAAGAAGGATTACCAAAATCCAAATGCCAATTAGAATACAGATTAATGCAATCAAAGAGGCCATCCTGTTTCAACCCCAACAATGATACACAAAGCCTCAAATATGGCAGCTTGTTCAACTGAAAAACAAATGCAGTGAAAAAAAAAAATATATATATTCAGTGTATGCATGCTTCAAATCCTCATAAACATGTCTCGTAAAAATATGGCAGAACAGGACACAGTGTCTTCAATGTTAAAGCCCCGTAAGGCGTTCCTGATCCTTGAAGGATTTGCCTTGTTTTGGCCATTCCCCTCCTAGGAAGGGATTGGATCCACAATGGTAGGCTTGATCTATTAAGAATACACAGATAAAATAAAAGATAAAAGATATGACATGAATTTCATGAGTCAGGTCAAAAGCCAAAAACAGCATAGTTTCTTTTATGTACTTGTAGCTTTTGGAAGCTGCGTGTACATCCAAAGCACCATTGAAATCAAAATAGGTAAAATATGCCAGACAATACATACAAGGCGCCATGGAAGAAATTGGAGGACGATTGCTGAGCCTTTCACTTCATGATAGGATTTATTATTTACAGCATGGAAATCAAAATCGTTTAAAAGGCTAAATTTTATAAGTTCATGCTTAACAAAATAAAATTATATTCAGACATAAATTTCATTAAAAACATTTTTAATATATGA